CACAGTTAAAATACTAAAAAGCCTTTTTCAAGAACACACCCTGCCTCCCCCAGCACAGGGTTTCTGTCTTTCCTGCTATGGAAGCACTAAAGCAAAAGAGATGTTGAAACCACAGGGCTGTGGTGAACAGTGCTGGGATTTCTGTCTGGCCCATGAGCTTTACTTTTTAGCAACTGTCACTTTCCGATTAATAGCTTAGTTGCCAGTTTTTAACCTTTTTCGGGGGTAAACGTCTTACTCTGTGTTCTAGAAAAGTAGCTTCTGTTTGTGCAGTACAAGTCTCTGATAAATGTGTAGCTTGTGCTATCTCACCACTTCAAAATCCCATTTTGATTTTGGGAGGAACAAATAATTTGTTGCCTTCATTTCATTGCTCTGTGTAGTCCAGGGGTTTCTGGCTTTCCGGACCTGGGGCTCTCCCTTGCCACTTCTGTCAAAGCCACCAGGCTGCTGTGCTGCTGCTAACTCTCGGGGCAGCTGGAGCAGAGACAGATGAGCTGTTCTTGCATTGGTTTTGCTGCTGTTGTTCAGAACCCAAGAGGCAGTTGTGAAACTCAAAAGAATTGCATTAACTTCACTCCACTTTTCCCAGCATCATCAGGAAAACAGGCATGCTGCAGATCTGGGGAAGAGATTGCTTGGTCATGTTTCTGAGGTTATCTTTGCAACCGAAAGGACTCAGCACTTCAAATTGAAGCCTGGATTCAGCAAGAATTGATTCTCCAGCTGGGGAAATATGGATGAACTCATTAAGCCAACAGTTTCTACCAGCAGTTTTAATCTGCAGGCTTTAGGTTTAGTTTGGCTGTCAAGAAACAATTGCTAATCAAGCCTCACTGATTGTTGTGCCTGGAAAAATGGCGAGTGTGACATGAAATTAATTTCTTCTGGGATCAAGTTAGATCAAAGAGAATTATTGCCTCTTTAAGCTAAAATTTAGTTTTATTTTTAAGAAAGGGGTAAGAGGACTTTCAGACTTTCCATCATGTGTTGCCACCATGACTGTTTCCTCCAGAAGGCTGACTGTACTCCAGTCCTCTGTGCCCTCTCATAAGTTAATGGCACCTGCAGAGTTGATTGCTTCTGACTGGTGTCCAGGTTTGTTGACAATTCCTCATGTTTTCAAGATGTGTCTAATTCAGCAACTTTTGAAATTTTTTGAGAGGTGTCAAAAAAACCAATGACCCGAAAGGCTGACTATTCTGCTAGTGCAGGAGCATCTGCTTTGCTCTTCAGTCATCTGCAAATGGCTGTACTGTGTTTACCTGGTGACCCATGAAGGTACCTGTGGCTTGCAGTTTGTAGCAGACCTTACCATTGCAAATGCCAATGGAAAAGAACTTGTGTTGGTAAGGCCAGGAAATTAAAGAAGGGGGAAAATCCCAAGTAAAGAGGTTAGGTTAAAGGTTTAGTGGCTTTGACTGAGTTGTGAATTTCATCCAGTTGGCTGGCACAGAGACTGTAACTGGGGTACAACCGCAACGCTGTCACATCCTACGGAAGTGTGGAAGCCCATGCGTGAGATACTCGATACAGTTTGCATAAAAGCACAATGTGTGTTGCAGAAATCCGATGTACTGTATTAGCTTCTGTGTTGTTTTGGTTTTGTTTTGTTTTTTTTTTTTTTTTTTTTTTTTCCCCCTCCTCATGCTAAGCAAATCGCAAGTACCCGAGAAATGCCTTTCAGTGATAAACAAAGTAATGAACCATCCCAGTGTCAGGTTGATTTGATTTTGCAGGCTAGCGCTGCCTAACTCAATTTCTTTACGAATGTCTGGTTACATGTTGGTATTGAAAGAGAAATGTAATTGGCAGGAGGGAGCTGTGAGAGAGATGGAGTTATCTGGGGATTCCCTCTCCCACCAGGCTGCTACCAGAAGACAAAATCCCTCTGTGTTTGTGAGCAGGGTATTTATCTGTGTCAAACCTTCCCTCTCTCTCTTTTCACTTCCATTTTGTGAGATTAGTTTTGTGTGTGTGCAGGCAGACAAGGAGATTGAGCTGTATTCCCAGCCTCTGCTGCCTTAAATCACCCGCTAACTAACAGGATATTTCTGTCTGGGTGTTGCTGGACTGTCCTGTTCCAGTTGTAGGAGTTTAACACTTTCACTTCTTGCTCCATTTAGTTTTCAACAAAAGCAAACTCCGTATGGAATAATCATGCAGCAGGCCCCAGATTCACCATTAGTGACCTGTAAAATTGGCAGCACTGGAGATTATTGGCGGGGGACGGTTTCCCTAGGCGCTTCCTGCCTTCTCCTGGAGAGTTACGTTCAATTAGAGCAATGATACGCACAGCGGGGATTTTGCAGAGTTCAGTCCTTGGTGGTAGTGCTGCTGTATTAAAGGCAGAGATATCTTTGGCCTTTTTGTGACTCCAGTGTTCCAGCTGCTACCCTCTTGCTAACCTCTGCTTTTCCTAATGTAACCTCTTTCACCTCTTCTTTTACCTTCTGATGCAATCATATCCCTCAAACATTTTTAGCTTGCGATTTGTGGTGTTTGTCTTCCAAAAAAACAAAGTGGAGACTGCTGGCTGTATGGTGTTGGTTTTTTGGTGTGTATTTTTTTTTTTTTCCTGCCGCCCCCCCTCCCCTTTCCACTCAATTTGTTTCTTTCAGACCTCTTGCATACTGTGGACTGTCCTCAGATCTCTGTAATCATCTTTCTCTTCCTTTTCACACTCCTGTGATTTGCTTCTACTTATGAAACCATTTTGTTTCTAGAGGTGATTTCTGGCATCCAGGTCCTTTGACTTCTGGAAGTCCCACAAAGTTTGTCTCTTTTCCTTCACAGCCTTGTGGTGGCAGTCCCTTTTGTTGGTCCCTGATGTGAAGAACATGATCCTCAAAATAATGATTTCTGTTTCCTTTCTTCATTATAACTTCCTGCTTGCATTCACTGCCCATATTTGTAGTATCTCCATTTATTCTTTATTCTCTGTGTGGAAATCTTTGTGGCTTACAAAGTGTTGAGAGAGGCTGGTACACAAGTGTATTTGAAGTACTGAACTTGCAGAGGTGTGTGTAAGTACTGTTATAAGCGTGCCTGGAATGGTCTTCAGGTCTTCAGAATGGTCTTCAGAAGACCAAATCTCCTGATACAAGGTAGATGTTCATGGCGCTTATGTCTAAGTTGCTAAACTGTAGAGTGTGGGAGAAACAATCACAGTACTTGCTTAAAATTTGTACTTGCATAGGGGGGAGAAAAGTACTAGCCATGCATTTTCGTCGTTATGTTGCTTGTTTTTAAGTTAAGTTCACAGTTAAAACCCAAAAGCTTTGGGTGGTGCTGTCAGTCTCCACTTGCTGCTTTCAACTTCTGTGTTTTTCCTTCTGCTTCGGTATTTATGGCGTTCCGTGCTTTACCTGTTTGCTGGCTATTAGTATTTGAGAAGAATGTACTCACAGGGTGGTCAACATAATTAATTACTCTTAATCCCCAAAAACTGGCAGCCAGAAGTTTTGTTGTCCTTAAAACTCTCATACTGTGAATGCTACTGTAGCTTTAGCATGAGAGGCTGGATGTTTCCTGGCAAGTTTCCATGGAGAATCCCATGGGCAGATTTGAGGTAAAGAGGAAGAGAGGGAGGATGAATACAAATTTAAAATAGCATTGCTTGTCACTGTATTGAAATATTAGCACCTGGCTTTTTAGCAGAAGTTGTGTTCTTATGTAAACTGTGAAATTGTGCCAGGGGCCACATGCCCTGTGTAGGGCAGAAGGCCTTTCTCTGGTAGGAGCTGGCCTGTTTAACACAAATATCCCATCACAAAGGCCAAAACATTTCAACAAAAACTCTTTCTGACATCCATTGTACATCTTGGTCAGCTTCATGCCCAAAATGTCTTTGCTTTTGACAATTTGGGATTGTTTTGCTGTGTTTTGTCAGGGTCTTCCTGTTTGGGTCTCTTCCTTTCTCTCACTAAGAGCTGCTGGAGAAAGTGCAGGGCTGATTTAGGAGTTCTTCCTCATAAGTTGTAACAAGAGGTAGACTTAAAAACTGATTGTGGAGGGTGGCTGCCTCCTTTCTTCCTCCTGGTGTTCTGCTGGGAGTTGCTTCTGAGTGCACAAGGGCACCAGGGTGGAATTGTTACAGGGCTTGTCTGGTTTAATTTATCCTCCACCCAGAGAGAAAGATGGATGCAGGGGGTGTGTGTGTGAGTGCCCTCTCCCCATTTCGAATAGGAGGTGTTGGAGGGAGAGTAACAGAAATAAACATTTAGGAAGTATTGTGAAGTATGTTGTCTTAATCCCCACTGCACTGCTAAAGTAGAGATGAGTCTGGGAGTTTCATGGAGAAACTCCAGAAGTGTTGGAGATTCATGAGATATATATATTTCTGCAGAGCAGGGTGATGGGGTTGCCAGTAACACAAAATGTGTAGGCTTGGGAGTCCCTTCTGGGGTGAAGGAAGAAAGTCTAGAGGATTGATTTCCTGTTGGGAGTGTTTGAGGCATTGCTCAGGCTTACAGGGGTGTTTGAAGTTACACCGACTGCTTTTTAAGTTCATGTTAAACTGTTAGTACAGTCTTGAAAAGGAGAAAATTGATGCTTTTATTGCTAATGTTTAGGGAAACATTTATTCAAGACTGGGCAAGGTGGGCAGTAGCTTCTGTAATTTTATGTTCTGTTTTGTTCAGTTTTCATGATGGTAAATGAAGCTTGCATATAAAAATTCTTTGGAAAATTACAAAAATTATACACAACTGAAATTACAGGGGGTAAAGTAGGATTAGTTTATGCCTATTTTATGGCTTTGATTTCTTTTTCTTTTTTTCTTTTGCTTCTGCACAACTTGTTATGTGCAGTTGAAAATGAATTTTAGGTGTTTTGGCTTACATGGAAAATAGGAAGTTAGCAGAATACTTTAATCTTAGCTCATTCTTCCCCCATTTCATGCAGGTTCTTGTTTTTGGCTGAGCTAAGACAGACGTATAATTCCTTGGTTTCTATTCCTTGTAACTACTACATTTGCTCTTCATTTTCTTGTCTTGCAGAACGAGCCTCTGACTTCAGGTTATCATGGATACCCAGCGAGAGACAATCAAGTAAGAGTCTGATTGCAGTAAATGTGTGTGCACGCGTCTCTGTACACTTATGGATGTTTTGTTTGACAGCTTCCTGGCTGTCCTGTTACGGAGTGGAATTTGTTTTGTTCTATTGTGGAATGCTGCTAGAGATATATGTGGTAAACTGAATGTTTTTTATGGCCTGCAGCAGTATGTGGCAATGTGCCTGGTAAGGGGTTAAACATGATCCACATTACCAACAATTATTCTTAAAAACATTGTAACTTAGAATCCCTGTCCTAAGCTCCCACTGTATCTCCTCAGTGATAATGAACGTAGATGTTCAAGTGCCAGTGCATGCTTGGCCCTGCTTTATACTTACTGCTGTAATTCTAGCATCTGGGGAGCAAAACAACACTGAGTTTTTGTGAGAGTCTGCTTTGCTGGTGGAGTAGGGAATGAGATGTCCCATTGGTTTGTTACTAGTATTTGTGCACTTCTGTTGCCTTCCTTTCAAGTCCTGCAGGGTCCCTGCCCCTTGCTTTTACTCAGGATGTTCTCCTTCTGCAGTAGTAAAAATTATACTGTTCAGTGCATCACATCTGTAAGCATTCTCTTGCCTCCTAGCAGAAGACAGAGAAATCCCAGTTGATGAATTTGTGTGACGGAAGGAGGAGATGCTTTGGAACAAATGAAATTTAATGGGTTGTAAGATACCACTGTCACACATTAAATATCCCGTCTTAGAATGAAGGTCTTTTTTCAGTGTTCTGCAGTGCTACTGCAAAGCAGAGTAGGAACTAGTGTAACAGGAAATTAATACGCACGGAAAAATCAATAATGCAGCATATTTCAGTAATGAGCAAATAACAAAACCAAAAAAAAATTCTTGAATACTCTCAGATACTGCTATATAAAGAAAGTGATTTTCATCATATCTTGATGAGGACTGGGTAGATGTAGCAACAGCTTAAGGGGAGATGTTTTTATGAAGGAAGTGTAGCATAGTGAAAACTCAGCAACTGAAGAGCTCAAATCTTTGGTGCTTCTGCTGCATCTATGAATCTCCATATAGGAGGAAATTATTCAGAATGTCTACTGGGATATATTAAACTGTTAACTAGCACAAATAAATATTACGCGCTGGGATGCTGTGAGACTTGTGTTCCTATTCTATCCAGGCTAAGTAAGTTATGCTAGGTTGAGAGGCAGTCACAGATCCTTAAAGCGGTTCATATTTGCTTTTGGTTTTTCCATTCTGGTGGCACCCTCTACACCTTATTTTGCACTTCACTGTACCCATTTAGGGGTGGTTTTGGGTGTCTTTGGGTGTTTCATTTTGGTGACTACCAGTATGTCCCACTTCACAGGTTTGCTCTTTCTCATTCTTCAATAACTCTTCTGGTCTGAAAGTCCAGAACTGCCGTTGCTGGCAGGTCACCAGATCAGCAGAGATGGGCCTGGGAAGCTGTACAGCAGCCAGGGCGTGAAATGGGAATTACAGCCTGGGCAGCCCTGGAGGGCTCTGTACGGGTGAGCATGGGCAGTAATGTATATTAGCAAGTGTGCATATGTATTTCAGATGGCAGATAGCTTTATGGAAATTTCTTAGTGGACAAGCAGCTTCGGTTTAACTCTGGAGTTTTCATTTTAACAAATACTTGTAAAAATCTTTTTTTGGCTCTTCCCCCCTTCCCTCTCCCCCCCCCCTCCCCCGCCACCCTGTTCTCAGTAACATCTTGATCTGTGGTAAGTGTTTGTCCTTCTGTCTTGCTTTTGGCCCTGAAGCAGCTTAAATTCAGGTCTGTTTTCACTAATGAGGTTTCAAGGCTTTTAGCTAATCTGATTGGGAGCCTCTAACATGATAGCAGCAGAGAAAGAAGTCTTCTGTTGCCACAGACTGGGGCTGGTGTGGGAGAGACAGCAATGGCTGATCCATCACCTGCCTTTCTGTACCGGGGAAGGAGGAAGGAAGTGGTGTGGGAATATGTATAGCAATTACGAGATGCAGGAGCAATTGTGTTGTATTTTCTCAGATTAGGAGCTGGATTGATCTGGTGAGTGTAAGTCTCTGTATCTTGCTGTTTCCTGTTGCAGTTCTTTACTGTAAATGCTTGTACTGTGCTTTTTACCTTAGCAGAAGTATCAAAGCAGAGCTTTATTTTTAAGGTTTCTCATCATGTGACCACAGTAGTCCTGCCAGAAGTTCTGTGGATGCAATTTACGCTTTCTTTCACCTGACATAGCATCCTACTCCTTCACTTGTTTGTATCTCCTTTTTGCTCTTTCAAGCTCTAAAGTGCTGTTAATTGCTGGCTGCAAACCTTTCACTGTGCTGTTTTTACACCCTCTAGTGGTTAAATCATACCCAGATGTTCCAGACTATTGTAGTCTTTCTTCCTACCAGTGGAAATGTGTGATTGGTTTGAGTCCTCACTTTGGCCATTTGGGAATCTTTAGGGTCTACAGTATGAAGTTTATTTTGAATCCTTTCCCAAATATTTAAGCATTCTGTCATCATCATGCATGGGACGTGGCACTGAGGCAAATGAGATGGGTTCATGTTGAGGCTGTGTTCCTCTTTATTCTGGTGTTGTGTGATTGCTTTATGATAGCCCAGAGTTTTGGGTTGTTGCGCAGCCCCCCTCATTCCTCACCTGCCCTGCCAGAGCGCTGGCTTACTGAACTTTCGGTGGTGACAGGGCCTGGGGAGCATGTTAGCTAAATCATTGCGGTGTAAGTTTGCCTAAAAAGAGAAGGCTTTCTGTTGCTGGTGTTGCACTGCTGGGTCTACATTACAGCCATGTAAGGACCTGGAGAGCGCTCTGGGATTCTCAAGAAATCAAGGTTTGCTCTGTGGATGTCTAATGCACATAGAGGAATGGCAGGGTGCCCCTCCTTTTCCCCAAAGCTAGGCTGATGGCAGGGATGAAGCCCTCAGTAAAGGGAAAATAAGGGAAGTGTTACTGTAACATTGTTAACAGTGATGAGAACCAAGTCTTAAGTCTTTTGGTGAGGAGAGCTTATTCTCTGGGGACTATTCAGTTCTTTATCCCTCTGTTGGGCCTGCCAACAAAACAGTGTTTCTTTTTTCGTAACACGAGCACCTGCCTAAAATGCAGTGAACCAAGACTTTCTTGCTTCATTTCCCAAGCTGTGACAAACAGTTCTGAGGTTGGTCTCAACATGGAAAATGACTAGTACGGCTATACTGATACCACTTTTACATATAGACAAACTCATCAAGAATTAATACTCTGCTTCCAGAAAGCTATTCCATGCTAACTGTGCCAGCTTATTTTATGTACAGCCAAGGCCCATGTCATATTGCTCTAGTGCTTTTCATGTCCATATGTATTAGACATGATATTTGAAATTTGAGTGATGAATACTAGCACTTCTGTGGCAGAATTTGGCAGCTGCACAGAATAATTTTGTTCTCCAACAGGAAGCAAAATGAGCAAGATCACCTTGTTTAGCTGCCACTGAAGGGAAGAGAGGAGAGAGAGTTTGTGGAAGCAGGAGGTAATTGCACGCACCAGAACTGGGTCAGGATGTTGGAGCTATTACACCTCTTCTGTTATGGAAAGTGATCCTCAGCTATCACAACAGGTTACTATGTTGGTTTGAAGCCTCTTTTAAAAGCTTGTACTTCCATGAGTACAATTCTTAAATCAAACTGGACCATTGGCTCGGTACTAATGTGGTGGAAACATCGTCACCTATTACAAGTGACACTTCCTTCAACAGCTTAATTTCGGTGGCTGGTTTTCCATTTGAGCACTCACCAGGCCTGACCTGTTGTTCTCATGTATGTAGATGAGATTTCAGCCCAAGGTAGCATGGGTGCCCATGGCAACTGCTAGGAACAGCTTTATCTCTATCCCCTCAGTTTGAGTTCAAGCTTAAGGTGAAATGCTGTTAAATCCTCTCCAATTGTCAGCCTGTTCCCCCGGGTCTTTACTCACTTGCTGCTTTGGAGTATTTGTTGGGGCATTATAGGCAACAGGCAGCTGTGTGCACTCCCCTCCCTCGGGCCACAAGCTGGTCTGGGTGAACTGAACAGCAGTGGTGGCAGTCTGTGAGAACAGGAAGCCTCCCCTGTTGCTTTTTTTTTCCCCCTGTTTGTTTTCTTTGCCCAGTCCATCCTGATGTGGGGAGCTCAGCAAGGAAGCTCTTCATCCTGAGATGTGAAGGGTGTGCATGAGCTCTCATGGGGAGGTAGGACAGCAGGTCACCAGGCTTCCCGTTGGAGCCGGCTGTACAGAGGCACTGCTGCTCCCCCGGTGGTGGCTGCTCCTCTCGGTGGTCTCTCTGCAGCAAGTAGCGGTATCTCGGCAGAGAGTTCAGAGGAGGGAACCTCTGTCCTCTTGTCCGTGTGGTCTGAGGCTCCTTCACCTATCTTAGTCATGTGGATGACGTGTGAATTTGGGGATATTGCCCCAACTTGATTAGCAGCTGAGTGGTTCAGTATGGATTAGGATATCCACAAAAATCTCTTGTTTTAGTATTAACAGACTGCGATGCTGTTGTCATAAAACAAATAAAAAGTGACCTTCTGGAGGAAAATGGTTTGGCCACGTTTGTTTTTATTTGTACCATGATAGCACCAGCCACAGTCTCTTCAGTGTCTTAGAACAAAGACTCCCTGTCTCAAGAGTTTAAATCTGTAAGTAGTGTTCCTCAAAAGTGTTTTGATTTTTAATTTGTTTTCCTACTTTGTAACTGACCGTGACAATAAACTGTATAGTGTGCATGCTGACTGGCTCCATAACCGGTGAGATTGTGGCCGTGGAAATGTTAAGTTATTCAGGAGCTAGAAAGGAGGGTTGTTTCTGATTTTTTTGGTTTGTTGCTTACACTTTTGGTTTGAATAGTGTGTTTAATACAAATGCTTAAACTGAGGGACAGAGGGAGGTGCTAGAAAGGCCTTAAACAAAGTTTTTGAACACCTTCCTCCTTGAATAAATAGCCAGGACAAAGATCAGGAAGCGTCTGAGGTCCTTCAAGTAAAATGGATAAGACCAGGCTTGGTGTTT